TATATATATATATAATGAAAGAGATCGTCCTGATATTGATAATTTTTAAATCAAAATTAAAGATACATATATTTAATCATTTTATCGTATTTACACCACTTTTTTACCATTTTTATATATACAAATTTTCTAAAAAATTGACGTGTCTAATTTGTTTGAAAAAATAAATTATTCTTTAGTGGAAAAATAAAATCATACTTATTTAATGTACGTATTATATATTAAGATACAATTTATTTTCTCGAAATTAACACGTGTCCAATTTGTCCATTAATGTTTTTCGAATTTACGGAAAAAATAAATTATTCAATGAAAAAATCATATTTATTACAAAATAATTAATGTAAAAAATTAATGATAGAGTGAATGTAAAGATATTCATGGAATAGATAAAAAAATACGTGATTCATAATCAATCATATTAAATATTGTGAAATACAGTTTGTTTCATATGTACACGACACCTGTCTTATATGATAATAAATTAGAAAGTAAAACCATGTATTCAACAAATGTATTCAACAAATGCATTTATAACTAATTTTTGTTAAAATCTTTCTATAAATATTCCATAGTAAAATCATGTAACATCGTTATTTTGAGATTTTTAAAAGATTTTTCATTTAAAAATATAAGTTATAAAATTAAAAACAAAATATATTATATTTAATTTTAAAATATTAATAAAACTTTTAAAATCTATAAATAATTTGATTCCGCGTGATTCGCGTGGGTTATTAACTAGTAATATAAGTTTTTGAGTTATTTCTTATTTGAAAATTACCAATCGTTTTTTTAATGGAAACATAAAATTATACAAAATATTATAAAATTACTAGAAAAAATATATCTACTTAAAAATGTCATAAAAATACATAAAATTCCAATGTGATCATTAATTTTTTGATTTTTCATAAATGTCGTTATGATCTTATCTAATGAATATTTTTCTCAATTAATATTTGAAGTACCTTATGAGTCTGAAATAAGTTCAATAAATACCGTATAAATTGTTAAGATTTTGATGAAGGTATTGGGAAATGTCATTTTGGTCGAATAAGAGCCCTTTAGATATCACTAGATTTTTTTTTTTTAAAAATTTCAAAAACTTATTGGATCAGGTCTTAAATTATATACTCTAAATAAAAGGTCAGAAGAGTGTCAAGTCCTATTAGAATTTGGATATATCGTTTCATTTGAAACTCTTACTCTTTAATTAATGTTTTACGAGACGATATATGTGTCATGAGAACTAAATCAACTAATTTATCATATAAACAAGAACGAATGTTGAAGGATCATATAAAATAAATTTGGATGATAAGAACAATAAAAAATAATTTAACAAAATATAGATAAAATAAAAGAAAAAATCTAATTAAATGATATTTCAACTCATATATATTTAAATTAGAAATAGATTGATTTCATACGGGTTATTCAACCAATATTATTATGATTAAATATAAATATAGGTGAGATTATGTAAATTTAATATTTTACCAAAATTTAAATACGAGTAAGATTATATAATTTAATATTATACCAATATTTTATTGTTAAGTATTAATAATCTAAATACATTATTATTGGATTTTTAACAGTAAATTTAGATTATTGTTTAAAATTATACTTACGAGACTATCCACAGTGACATTTTTAAAGTAACTCTCGTTTTGCCAAAAGTGAAACTTTTTTATTGAATCGTAAAAATTTTATAACTATTTTTCTGATATTCCAAATTTTAACTATTGATTTTATATTATAACATATAAAAATATAAACAGAAAATATTAACAATTGATTTTTAAAAAAAGATATCATATTTTATATCAATATTATTCATTTATCTTTATTTTGAATATTTATCTTTATTTGACTATATAATTTATATTCATATATATATTTGCTCATTTCATTTATCTTCTTTTGTTTAGCAAATATAAAAGTATTTTTTTTCATAAAAAATATTGAATATTTTCAAAATTGTTTATCACTTTAGATATAAAATATAAATTTAAAAACAGAATATAATATATTTAATTTTAAAATTAATAATATTGTTTTTTAAAATTTATATGTAATTGTAATCTAGTAACCAGAAAAGGAAATAACGCAATACAGATCCGAAATATGCTAACTTCCCGCATGAGATTGATACGCAAATATATACAGCAAGATGTATTTCCCATTAGTTTTTGTCTTGGAGAATTTTCAATTGATCGTATTGTACTTGCGATTGATCAGTGATTCTGGTTCTGGTTCTGGTTCTGGTTCTGGTTCTGGTTCGCGCTCTCTCCTCTCCACCCAGAGACTGTCCCATCAATTTGCTTCTGATTACCGTTCTCCGCGCGCCTGATTCTTGGGGTAACCTCTATTCTTGTACGGGCACTACATGTCCTTTGTTAATGTATATGTTATTTTATCTGGGTAAGTGGGTGTGGTGCTTTTCAGTTCGACAATTTTGGAGTTCTTTTGTTTCCTATTCTTTTGGGTAAGTAATCTGAATCGTTTCCGAGTCACTAACTAGACAAAGTTCGAGAATTGACTGAAATTTTAGTTGTAGATAGAGAATGGGTTATTGGATTGTAGCATGGAGTTTGATTAAGTCTTTATCTGGAGAAGTTTCAATGCTTTTGATAGCTTGTGAGCAAAGGTTAAAAATTCCAAAAGTGTTTTTTATGTTCATTTTTATTTTGGATTCTTAAGTTGATTTGCTACACCATATGTGTAAATACATGTATACAATTCGAGCTTATAGAAAAACTTTTACTCTTTTGATCGATTATATTCTTGTTTTAGGCTTACATGCACCCAGGTGTTGTGTGTATCCATGTATGAGCATATGATTGCAGAAACAGACATTGAAAATGGTGACCTCTAATGGGCACAACCTATCTTGCATGCTTATGCTTTTTCCAGACAAGTTTGTGTAGATTTTAGTTGATTTTCTGGATTTTAAATGTGTTGTTTGCTTATTTATTGTGCGAGGATGATAGATGTGCGGTTGCATCACATTAGCTTGAAGACTACTATTTTCTGATGCAAGCAAAATATGTTTAGTTGTGTGGTGAACTGGTGATCGTAGACTTGCAATTGCATCACATTAGATGAAAATGTTGTTATTTTCTGATGCAAGTAGAAAATACTGATTTTGGTTCATCATGCTACGGTTCTTTGTGTGAACTTATCACATCTTTCTTTTCCTACCCGGCTAATCATTTTGTTTTGAGTATGCTCAATCAGACAATTTGCAATTATGTGCCCTCATCCTGCTTCGTTTTTTCTTCTTCTTCTTCTTTGAACTGAGAGAACTTAGGTGTACTCAGCTTATTTCATCAAGAACTGCTCTGTCCCTTTTCCGTGTAATTGTGCCTTTCAGTTCTCGCTTTCTGAATATTTAGCTTCAATACAAGTCAGCGCTTCGTGTTTGAATGGAAATTGAGAAGGGGTTTGGACTGATCATCATAGCTTTTGTTACTCATTTTGGGTGTCTTGTCTGAATTGATGCTTAATCAAATTTTGTTGTGTTTCTTTGTACTTTTCGTAGTTTCAGCAAAGTACAAGTACTCTGTTTATTGGGAGAATAAAAGGATGATTAACCTGTAGTTTGATTCTTGTTCTAGTGGAATCTGGTTGTAGATTTGTTGTCAAGAGGGAAAGCAATATAATGGCAGTGGACAAGGATAAGCTTCAAGAGGAAGCATCCGTTATTCGTTTCTGTAAAATAATTCTAGGTTGGGACTTTAAACAGCTTATGCAGGAATACGAGGTAATTCCAGATCCTAAAGTTCCTTATGTGAAGGGATGGTTTTGCCATTTTGTGTTTGAATGTTATACACATTTTCTATTTGGTTTGCTTTTTCATTTCAATTTTGATGATGCAGGGAAAAGGCAGAAAGAATTCTAATGTAACGTTAAAGGAAGTAAAAGATGGCAGAAAGGATTCTAATGTAACGTTAAAGGAAGTAAAAGATACTTATAAAGATGCTGATGATTATTTGGAGACTTTTGAACCACTTCTATTTGAGGAAGTTAAAGCTCAAATTGTCCAGAGAAAAGACAGTGAAGAAGGTTTGTTAAATAAAAGTATTCCGCAAAATTTTGGAAGATATTAGCAGCTGCCAGTTATTTTGTTCTGTTTGTCTGATGAGAAGATTTTCAGTTTTTCGAATCATTTTGATCTTGGTTTTTGTTACTTTTGATACTTATAGGCAGCCGAGGAACCGAGTCGCCTATACTTCCAGCTTTTATTATGTCCTGTATTTTTTCAATCTCCTTAAAATGTTGTTTATCAATGTAGCTTTTATTTTCATGCAATTAGGCCATATCAAACTGCTCTAACTTTTCTTAACATATTTGTTTTGCCTGTCGAAGGACTTTTCCTATGTCTGTCTTCCTGTTGTCTTTCTCTCGTTCTTAATGTCTGCTTGGTTATGACAGCGCCAGAATGGAAAATGAGGTTGGTAATGGATTGTAGTGAGGCCGACGGATTTCACTTTCCGATGGTCACTTATGAAGCTGACGAAGACGAGTCCATTTCTCCTAATGATTTTTTACTGTTATCGAAATCGAAAGAGGAGGTAACAATTTTCTGCGATGAGACATTTTATTTGCTTTATCATTGCTTTTTGTTCTAGTCACAGATGTCTCCTAATTTTTGTTCTCATTTTCTAGTTTCTTCTTTAGTAATAATTCTCAATTATAGGATTCATCCTACGCTTTTGCATTAGTGGAACATCGTCAAAGGAATCTTCTTCGTCTGCGCATGTATTTAGCTGAAGAGATGGTTCAGATAACCAAAAATATCAAGTCCTCGAGAACAAAGCCATTTATCCAAGCCCTATCAAATATGAGGGCTCTGATCACCTCGTCTTCTAGTGCCGTAGAGAAAAGATTATTTAGTTTAAAGGTCAGTTATTTACAAAAGTATTATCTAATAACATTATGTTCTATGAAGTTTCTTCTCTTTGTTTTTTTTTTCTCTTGTGGTTTTGGTTGTTCCTTTATCCTTTGATATTGCGTGGGCTTGGCCCTTTTTTTATTCTTTAAGTCTACTGCTAGGTTATTGAAAACCTCTAGTAGATACCTGTTGACATATGCGTAAATGAGTGCCATCTATCTGCTAAACTAGTAAAGCTGAAGAGCAATCACTGTCTCTTATACTTCTTCAATATCTGAAGGGAAACACAGAAAGAATTAATCCTATATGCATTATGCATCATATTTTCTGTATGGTACGGTTCCATAATGAGTCAGGTGGTTATATGATGTTGCAAGTATAAAGACCTAACTTCTTAGACTAAAACCTTTTTCCCATGTCCTATACATAAATTTCATCTTGTGAACATATGTTCTATATGGGTTTTTTTGCCTCTCGGAAACCATAACTCTGGTTCAATTGTTTTGCAGTTATGTAGCTTATCAACAATTATTCGGGAATATGTAGGACTACGGTCTGTCAGTTCGCTCCCATTTAGGGATTTAATACTAACTACAGCAGAACAATCTTGTGGCTACGGTGATGAGTCGTGGAAAATATCAGAACCTCTGCATGAATTCTTTAAAGAAAATCTTAATAAATCCCAGAAAGAAGCTATTGATGTAAGTATGCTCTCTATCTTTCGACCATCTTTCTTTTATTTCTTCTTTTTCTTTTAGTAGTATAATGCTTCTGTACGTATAAGGGGGAATGGCAGTTTTCTGCCGGGGCTTTGAACTTTTATCTTTTCTATTTAGTATTTACCACAGGTCCGCAGTTTTTACTAACATATATTTGCTCTTCCTTTTATCAAAATGAAATATTTTGCAGGTTGGTCTCTCAAGAAAATCATTTGTTCTAATACAGGTCTGACCTTTTTCCTTTGAACTTGTTTTAGCATTTTGCATGGAGTTATCATTTAGTTTCTTCATGTTATGATATCAAAGGTTTTCATATATTGGATGAGGGACTCGCACGCAAATGTTTTTTTATAGAATCCCTTCAACAGATTTATAGCTTAAGTTCTCCAGTTCGCTTACCGAGTTAGTACTCCTAACGGGTCAATGTTTTTTTAGTCCCAGGATTATCGTGTAGGCATCTTAAGCTCGGAAACATTTTAGTTGGTACTGTAATTACCCTGTCGATAAGAAGAATTTAGAAGACTTCACCTTCATATTGGATTGATAAGCAGTTGAATTGAGCTGATGATATTTGCATATAAATATTGACTCTATCATCCTTTAGGGTCCTCCGGGTACTGGAAAAACTCAAACAATTCTGAGTATCCTCAGTGCCATTCTCCATGCGACTCCAGCAAGAGTCCAATCTAAGTATGAAACTCGAACTTTCTATCCTTGTGATGTTTGTTTAAAATGAGCTACTTTAATTAAGCGCTACACATTCTAACTGTGATAATCTTGCTTTGCTTCTTATCTCATGGAATGCCCTTAATTCTTCGAAATAGAGGTGCAGAGCGTGTAGTGAATGGTGGACTTGAAATGACTAATGAAGAAAAGTATGATTCTGCTCCCCTATTATTATCTTTTTAATCATTTTATTCTCTTCTGAAAATATGTGCAACTATTTTCAGAAGAGTTCATGCTCTTCTACTACTCGGATTTGGAAATAGAATCATAATTTCTCTCTGGAATATCATAGCATCTGACTTTCTTGGTTGACTTGCCTCAATATGTTTGTCTCAGATGCATTCACTGGAAACAAGCATCTCCTTGGCTATTTGGTGGTAACCCCAGAGATGCTATCATGCCTGTTGATGGTGATGATGGTTTTTTCCCAACCACAGGAAATGAATTGGTAAGTCTGGAGAGGTTTTTCTGCGATTTTAGGAAAACACACTATCTAATCCTCTGTAATACAATGTAGAAACCAGAGGTGGTTAATGCAAGTCGCAAGTATAGATTACGTGTGCTTGTATGCGCTCCATCAAACTCTGCACTTGACGAGATTGTGTTACGGCTTCTAACTACTGGTATGTGATTCTTTCCACAGATGCTAAACCATTTAAATTTCCCTTGCAGCTTGTACAGTTGGTACTGCTCTTTAAATTAGCCTATTATATATGGTGTGACCTTTGGGTTTTCAGGTCTTCGTGATGAAAACATCCAGAAGTATACACCCAAAATCGTCCGAATTGGTCTCAAGCCACATCATTCAGTCATGTCAGTATCGCTGGATCACCTTGTATGTATCTAGCAGCTTCTATTCTGGTTGTTATTCATATGGGGTTGGTTTTTTCTATTATCAGTTTTCAATTTGGGAATGAATCTCCTAATCTGGTCTACACGATTTCCATCGTAATGGTAGGATGAGTTTTTGGTCTTAGGAAGACCCACACTTGTGAAAGATAGATAAAGAAAGTATTAAAGTTGTCTTGATGAAGCATATTCTTCAGAACCAGTCTGAGAAGCACTCCTCTGCAGGTTGCTCAAAAGCGTGGTTCAGCCATTGATAAACCGAAACAAGGAACCACAGGGACTGATCTAGACAGCATTCGAACTGCAATTTTGGACGAGGCTGCAATTGTATGGAGAAATGCCCTTTGTGTTTTAACATAATTTTGAAATTATTGTTATGCCTGTCCCGAATATCCACTTTTGTTTCCAATGCTATTTCAGGTGTTCTCTACCCTTAGCTTCAGTGGCTCTGCACTTCTCACCCGATCGACCCGTGGTTTCGATGTTGTTATAATAGATGAAGCTGCTCAAGCTGTAATGGCCCACACTCTTTTACTTTCTAGTTGGTCAACATCAGAATTACTTATATGAAAGTGGACTTATGCATATTTGTTTTGTCTCTCCTTGAAACAAGGATAGCAAAATAGGATACTCTCTCGTGGAAACTCTTATTTTCGAGTCTTCGGCCATCATAGTTAGAGTATGTGAGTGTTTTTCTGGTGGAATGTCTGCAGGTCTTGCCAATAACCTTTACTAGATTTGTACCGGTTTTAGAGTAAAATGAATCTCCCATCAAATGCAGACTTAAATGGTTTTTCCCCGATCATAATAAAGCAATTGATTAGAAAGTTCCACCGATTATACGATCATAAATGCAGGCGTAAATGCAGAACTAAATGGTTAGAAGATATGAATTCCTTATTGTCCTGTAGTATTGGAAACTTCTATGCTTATTGTGATTCCGCGTATTAATGTAATTTCCTCTCACATGCATGTGTAGGTTGAACCAGCAACTCTTGTTCCTTTGGCAACTGGATGCAAGCAAGTATTTCTGGTAAACCTCCAATAGTTTCTTGTTAGAATTCCTAGTTTTTACTTACACCACACTACAAGCTATTCAGAACCGAGCCAAATACCCGTGTCCTGGTCTTACTACAGGAGATCCATTCTTCGGGATAACGTCTCTATCTTTTCTTGTTCATTTCAGGTAGGAGATCCTGTTCAACTTCCAGCTACTGTGATCTCTCCTATTGCTAAGGAATTCGGGTAGAATTATTGTGACCTCTCATTCCGTCAGAGCTGTGTTTCATCATGTATTCTTCTCTTGTATTTTTACAACATGTTTTCTATCCATTTCTGGCCTTTCTTCAACGAAGCTATGGTACAAGCTTGTTCAAGAGACTTCAAAGGGCTGGTCATCCTGTAAAAATGTTGAGGACCCAATACCGGATGCATCCAGAGGTATGGTTGATCACATTCTCTACTAAGATCCTTATCGAATAAATTTCAAATGATCAAAATAGATTTTTGTGAATTATAATCAATTAATAAAGCATTTGACAAGGATTTCTTCGTCATCCCCCAGCTTTTGTTCTTATTTTCCATGGTTGTGTTCTGTTTCTCTTTTTCTGCCAAAAACAAAAATCAGATAAGAAGCTTCCCTTCCAAAGAGTTCTATGATGAGGCATTGGAAGATGGGTCTGACATTGAAGCTCAGACAAATCGTGAATGGCATAAATACCGTTGTTTCGGTCCATTCTGCTTTTTCGATATCCATGAAGGGAAAGA